GTACCTTGGGGCTACAGCAGGCATGAGGCTGCTGAGGTAACAACACGCGCTCTCTGGCTTCTGCATGACCCAGGCTGGCCAAGACGGCTCCGCACCCACCCGCTCCCATTTTGGCACCTAAACTGAGGGCAGGCTCCTGGTCTTGAGGCAGGAATCAGTCCGGGGCCAATGCTAGGGGCTGTGCTACGCAGGAGCTCAAGGAGAGCATGACGACTCCCTCGGTTCTCAAAAGCTTGGGCACTGGAGAGAGCCCTGCAGATCCCGGGTGCCTGCTTCACATTTTTGCAGCTATGGGTGTGTGTCCATGCAGGGCTCGGGCTGCGGAATACGCAAGGCAGATGGTAGGAAATAAATGCACAGCCCCTGTGCTGAAGGGCCAGGAACGGAGGAGAGCAGTGTTAGTTCTGCTTTGCTTTTAGGCACATGGTTGCAAATCTAGCTCAAAGGCAGTGGGGGTTCAGGTTGCAGAGAGAGGCCTGAGAACCCACCAGTCCCCTGCATGGGGGCAAGTTTGCTGCAAAGTCAATGAATCAGCAGTGCCGTGCTCTTGCCTCGCTGGCTGGTTACTTGGGGAGGGGGTGGGATTTCCATCCTTAGAGGGGTTTTAAGGCCAGATGCCACCCTGGCTGGGATGGTTTAGCTGGCGTGGGTCCTGCTTTTAGCAGGGGGCTGGGCTCGTCCAGCCCCATGATTCCATTGTGTCAGTGACTTTCATTTGCACACCCTTTAGCGTGGAAAACGAATCAGCGGCCGACCAGGTCGTGAGCGAAGTCACTAAGACCCTCCGACAGTACCCTGTGAACTTCCAGGGGGCACGGATCATTACGGGGGAAGAGGAAGGAGCCTATGGCTGGATCACTATCAACTATCTGCTGAACTCCTTCACACAGGTGGGGTTAGTGGACTTGGAAACACCCATCTCTGCTACTGTAACTATTTTAGCTTCTGAATTGAGAGCAGCCCTCAATGAAAATGCCCAGGAAGGACTGGTAGAAACAATATAACTTTGTATGAGGCTATCACACTACAGGCTTGTCTTCACTTACCTGGAGATCAATACTGTGGAGTTTGATATCTCAGGGTTTGATTTAGCAGGTCTAGCAAGGACCTGCTAAATCAACCACTGATGGCCCCCCACCATGGATGCTGCTCTCCACTGGCTTGTGAGGAGTGAGGGAAGTCCAGGAGAGTTTCTCCTGTCAATCTCCCATAGTGGGGACCCTGCAGAAATTACATCAACTCCAACTCTGCTAGTGTCGTAGCTGGAGTTGCGTCATAGGTCAACTTTCTGCCCCAGTCTAGACTAGGGATGTTAAATGTTGGTTAATTGAATAGCTGAGTAACCTCATGACATTTTATTGGTTAGCCAACTAATCCATAGTCCTGGGGGGCAGGGCTGGCAGCCAGTGTGCCCTGTATCAGGCAGCAGCGTGGGGAGCCAGGTGGGAGCTGGGCCACGAAGGGAGCTGGTTTAAAAGACAGCTCTCCTCACAGACTGGCTGCCTGTCACCTTGTGCTGCTGCTTCTGAGAAAGCAGCAGCAGCACGGAATGGCAGGGGGCTGAGCTCCTGGGCCCGGGCCC